GCTTCTCCCTCTGCCTCTGTCGCTCCCTCTGCTTGTGCTCTCTCTCTCTCTCTCTGTTTCAAATAAATAAATGAAATCTTAAAAAACAACAACAACAACAACAACAAACAGAATAAAAAGACAAGCCAGTGTCTGGTAGAAAACACTTGGAAAGTAAATAATCTAATAAAGGACCTTTACCAATATTTTATAAAGAACTCTTGAAACTCAGCAAGAAAACAGGTCAATAAAAATGATGCGCAAAAGATTCCAACAGAGTCCTCACCAGAAAATATACACAGATGGGACGGTAAGCACATGGAGAGATGCTCAGGTCATTAGGCACTAGGCAGATGCAGACTGAAACCACCACCACTGGGACGGCTAAGATCCAACATGCTGACAGGTGCTGGGGGTGGGGGGCGGGGGGCGGGGGGTGGCAGGAACTCTTCTACCTGCCAACAGGAATGTGAAACGGTCCAACCACTTGGGGAAGCAGCTTGGCAGTCTCATAAACTGTTAAATGTACATGTACCAGCCACTGCGTCTACCTGAGAGAAACAAAGGCATATTTCCACACGAAGCCTTGTGTGCAAATGTTCCTGGCAGCTTTGTCAGTAATGACCAAACCTACAAACAATCCAAATGTCCTGTGCACAGTAAACAGACCAGTTGGGTGGTCGACCCACAGACGGGACAGCCACTGCATAATATAAGAAGGAACCATGGAGACATTCCAATGCGGGTGAACGCGCAAATACTTAATTACGCTGAGTGAAAGAAGCCCGACCAAAAATGCAGATAAGCAGAAAGAAGCCATAGTGCGCGAGTCCACGTATACAAAACTCTAAGAAATGCACAATGTCACGTTCAGTGACAGGGCAGATCAGACCGGGTGGGGGGCCATGGGGGCGCACAATGAGGGAGGCAGAATTACCAAGGCCTAGGAGATTTGGGGGATGGCAGCCATGGCCATCATCCTGACGGTGGTGACGGTCTCACGGTGTACACGTATGTTAAACTGCACACTTGAAACGTGTTTATTCCACATGAAGCGTTTAGAGAATGAGCTTGACTCCCTGTCACAGGTACGAATAAAACTGAAAACAGGACACATCATGTCCCTGGCAGAGGGGGACGCAGTAGGATCAAGGGACGAGGGGGCTGAGAGTAGCCAGAGAAGCAAGACCTGTGCCTGTGAGCAGCAAACAGGGCCACTAGGGGGCTCGTCCCGGGGACACAGCTCTGGTGGGAGCTACGCGCCCCCGCCCCGCACTGAGCCAGGCCCTCGCCACCCCTAAGGCCACACGACTGCAGAGCCCAAGGGGCTGCAGCCCCACCCACATGCCCACCCGTGGGCTACAGAACGGACTCTGGAGGTTCTCGTGCGTTTTGCGGCCACGAGGAGTAACCCTCCGCACGGCGTGCACGTGCAACCCCCCAAATTAGAGTCAGGCTGCCTTGTATTATCTTCATTCTGAAATCAGGAGCGACGAGAGAACAGTCCTCTCACCACGTGGCCCTCACACCCCCACGTACTCGGAACCAGTCCAGGTAGAGGAAGGGATTCTTGTTAAACTAAACTATGAAGCAAGCAGTGGATCACATCCTGTGAACACACTGGAACACATCCAGCACACACTAATGCACACTCACGCAAAGGACACCCAGGATACATTTCAAGCTTCGATTTTTTTTTTTCCCTTTTCGTTTCTGTTTCTGGTTGTTTTACTAGGCTCCATGCCAAACGTGGGGCTGGAACTTGCGACCCTGAGATCAAGAGGCACGTGCTCTACTGACTGAGCCGGCCAGGTACCCCTGAAGTTTAAAGGGTTATAAGACAACAGATATAGGACAAACCCATTTTTTTATTAAATTTTGGGATCTGTATCTACACACGCACGCATGTGTAGATGTGCAAGCACGTATGTACACGTGTGTGTGTATGTATGCATGCATGTATGTATGCAGAGGGCAGGAGGGGCGTCTGGCTGGCCCAGTTGGTACAGCACGCCACCCTTGATCTCAGGGTTGTGAGTTCAAGCCACACATTGGGTTTAGACACTACCCAAGCGGGGGAAAAAAACGGGACGGATATACAGCAAAGTCTCTACAGTCAGAGGATCAGTGACTTCTATTTCCTTCCGTGTTCTTGTCTCCACGTTCTCATCCACACGAACACGGCACAGGGAAACATGCACGTTAGGTCCACGTAACAAGCGTGCATAAAGCTGGCTGCGAGCTCCGTAGGCACGAGGACTTACCGACACACCGTCCCGGCCACTGCCGTCACAGACCGACACGGCTTTCACCCCCTCTCGGCCAGACCTTCCACTATGACACAAGAAAAGTCAGATTGCGGCATGAAGCCTGGAATCTGCAAGCCACCCCCGACTCACTCCTCTCTCTCAAAGGTACACACGCTTCCAAACACGGGGGACGTTAAGTACATCGTCTTCCACTCGACGTGGTTAAACAGGTGTTGCAGAGGGAAGGAAGCAAGAAAACCCAGACAATGCCCAGGAATTGGGAGGGGCTCGGCTTACAGAAGGCATGATCTGCAGGTGGTCTATTTCTGCGAAGGCAGAGGAGTAAATCATACACCCGGGCTCTCCTTGATCCTAACGCATTGTGCTTGGTTTGGGGTCTCTCACCTCAGGATGCCTCTGACCATGCCATCCACGACGCATCTTACAAACCACGGACATTTGACAATCAAGACAATGGAATACTTTGAAAACTGAGCCCGAACACGAGTGCTTCCTCCACGCTCCTGTTCCGTGCACAGCGCATCTACCCCAGGGCACCTGTCTTCACCTCTCTTCCCCGTCCTTCCCACAGCCCCAGCACCATTTCTGCGCTCTGTGTGTAATAAACAGGAGACGCTGGGGGACTGTCTCCACACAGCTCTGCATCTGCACGAAGGTAAGTGGGTAGGATTCCCAACTTACTCGGGAGGAAACCGTCTACCCTCCCTCAGCAGCCATAAGACACACCGTCAATAGTAAAGCCGTAAAAAATATGCGTTACCTCATTATCCAGCGTTAATCCTCGCCGCTTCCCTCCCCCACCCGCCCCTAGAAGCCGCTGGGAAGGCAGGCTCTGGCGCGGCGCAGGGGATCCAGCCAGGACAGCAAGCGGAGGAGAGCAGGGAGAGGTGTGTGTGTGTGTGCCGCGGAGAGCCCAGCGCCCAACAGACACAGCCCTGGAAACGTGAGCTCCGCAGTTCTTCTCCCCCAAGTAGGACTGCACTCCTCTGGAGGAGGTAGGGCTTGCATGAGGGGACCTGCCCACATCTTACGCCAGGTGGCGTAACAGGACCGCGGCGTGCGGCTGTGTGATCTCCAGCCGGCCTCCCGCTGCAGACAGGCGCCACCCCAGCATCTCAGACCCAGGCCCTCCAAACACACCCTCGCGGGGACAGAAGACCCAGGGTATTTCCATGGACGCGCTCATCCACGTTCCCTGTGCCTGGCGGTCTCGAGCCGTGTGACGGAGCGGAGGGCCGGGGGACCAGCCACAGAACGACAGACGCCGCCCAGAACGCACACACTCGGGCATTCCTTATGGCAACTTTTAATCCTGCCTCTCCTTCCCTCTGCCAGGAAATGGCATCCGGGAACCATGGCCTGTCCAGGGCTTCACGGGTGACACGGGGGCCACATTCTGACTGTGCCCATTTTCTTTAAGACAAACGATCTACATCTCCATTTAATTCTGCTCAAGTGGCTCACGTTTGTCCGGGCTGTGCATAGGACAGATCCTGCTCGAAACACCATCTCCAACACTGCTTTGAATCCCCACACCCATCCCTACAGAGCCACTGAGCTGCTTTCCTGGGCCACGTCCCCCTGTACTACTCTGCCATCTCCCTCTGCATATGTCAGAACGAGGAGCCGTCCCATCATCACAGGGAACGTGGATGCTGTTTGGGATTTTTCCTGGAGAACAGAACTGATCACAGTCTGAACAGGAGGGGCGCTCCTTTGGAACCAGCCCACCCCTCACTCTCTGCTGGACCCGGTGGAATGCGCAATCGTGCTCCACACCACCTTCACCATCCAGGTTCTGATCGCCAAGGCGGTCCTGGGACCCCCCCCCCCCGGCCCCAGGGCCACACTCAGGCTACCAGCACAGACTTCAGAATCCGCCCAGGCCAGATCCAGACCCCCGGGCAGCACCGGGGATGCCCCAAGTCAGCATCCCGTGCCCAAGGCAGACTGGGGAACCCATGCGGCTAAACCCTAACCCTGAAGCACTGATGGACTCAGACCTGCCAGGCAAACTTTCAGACTCCTAAGGACTGGCTAGGACCCCCAAGGCGGGGTTCCAGACCCCCAGGGATGGGACAGGACTCCCTCAGCAGGGTACAGAACCCCTGGTGCTCCACTTGTCCCCCTCCCCCACAACCCAGAGTCTGGAGCCACACTCCAGGCTAGCAGCGCACACTTTCAAAGCCCTGGGACCGGACCAGAATCTCCAAGGCAGAGTTTGGGACACCCACGGCTGGTTCTAACCCCAGGGCCTGAACCCCTGGTGCCTGCAACCCCCGTGCCACCTCTGGACTACTGACACAGACTTCACGGCCCCCAGGCTAAATTCAGAATCTCCAAGCAGTGTTCTGGAGCCCCCACTCCCCGGCCGGGCTCCAGATCCTAGAGCAGAGTTCAGGACCCCCACGGAACAGCTCAGATGCCCCCAAGGAAGTGTCTGGGATCCCCAGGACCGCACTCACACCCCCAAAGCAGTATATGGGATCCCCGGGGGCATTTGGAGCTGCAAGGCCGAGTTCGGGATCCCTGGGATGGGCTCGGACTCCCAAGTTAGGATGTGGGATCCCCGAGGCAGCACTCGGACCCCCACGGCAGGATGTGCGACCCCCGGGGCAGCCCTCGGACCCTCAAGGCTGCGTTCGGGACCCCCGGGGAGGGGAATGGACTCCCAGGACCAGACCCCCGTCCCGCGCGGAGGCCGGAGAGGGACGCGCGTGGGGAAGCGCCCGGTCCCGCTGGCCGAACTACCTGGCGCGGGCTTCCGCCGAGACCAGGCCCCGCCGAAGGGAAGCTTGTCCCGGGCGGCGGCGGCGTCCCAAGCCCCGCCCGCCCGCGACCGCGCGCGCCAATCAGCGGGCGGCGGGCACGTGACGCCCGGCGGCCAATGGGGAGCCCGCGCGGGAGCACGCCCCCGAAGCCCCGCCCCATTGCGTGCGGGCGAACGCGGGATGTGGGCCCTGCGGGCCGCCGTCAGGCCGGGGGCCTGGCTCTCTCGCGTGGCTCGCGGCCGCGGGGCTCCGAGAGCTGCGCCGCCGCTGCCGGCCTGCCCCCACCGCGCGCTCGCCGCCTCTGGCCCCGGGGACCTCAAGGGGCGAGGAGGTGGAGGACGGGGCCCACGGGCTGCTGGCCCGAGAAGCCGAGCGGGAGAGGAGGAGGAGGAGCCAGAAGATGCGGAGGAGGAAGAGGAGGAGGAGGAACTTTTGAGGAGGGACCCTTTGCCGCCACTGGGGACCCAGCGCGTGTGCCTGATCCACCCCGAGGTCAAGCGGGGACCGGGGAAGCCGCAGCTGACCCGAGGTGATCCGGAGCGGCGCCGCGGGCGGGGCCGGGGACAGTGAGTGGCGGGGCTTCCGGGGGCGGAGACTCGGAAGGGCGTGGTTTCGAGTGCAGGCGCTCAGGGGCGGGGTTTCGAGTGCAGGCGCTCAGGGCAGGGACTCAGAGGGGCGGAGTTGTTGGGGGGCGGAGATTCGGAGGGGCGTGGCCTCGAGTGCAGGCGCTCAGACGCGGGGTTGTCGGGGGCGGGGACCAGGAGGCCCGGGACTCCGAGGGCTG